TTTACCTCCTTACCAACAGATTTATTTCCATCATCTGAAGTTTGCATCAGCCCGTCTATTTTTGTTACTTCGGCTTTTAGAAATAATTTCAAAAAAAAAAAAAATTTAGGAGCATCCACGATTTGCTAAATTGTCTCTCTTATCAGATAATACCTTCTTCAGCGTTCTGCTCGGTGGATACTCCAGCGTAAGATAGGATCTGTGATGGGGCAGCCGGCAGGGTCGGTGTCCTTGCTGACTGCAGGGCTGTGGTGTCCCTGTGCCCGGCAGGGATCCCATGAGGCTCTGGGTGCTCATCCCACAGCTCGGGCTGGGGTTACCCCCCCTGGGGAGGAAATTCATACACCCTGAAGAGATCAGGACCTCGGGCTCACTGGGAAGCACAGCCATAGAAACTGGAATCATTCCTGGATTTTGTAAGAGTGTATTTTGGGGTCAGGAGCAAAGATCTGAAACACCATTTCTTTTACAGAGACATAGCTATGGTAAATAAAAATCACAGTAAGAACTATTTCCTAAGAAGATATTAAAGCCTTGGATTCTTTGTTGTGTACTAAAATTTTTCTTTTTTTTTCAAAACAAGTTATATAAATAAAGGAATAAAAATCTACCATATATATTATAGAATTTAAGTGCTGGCAGTATTCTGTTGTTATATGTAGCAAACAAGCCACAGTTTGTTAATTTACAGTTTTCATAAAGTATTAGTATTTTTGAGTGACTGTGAAGACTTAAAAATGTTTTAATTTCTCGGGTGTAAGATCTGAAAACCTGATGCCTTTTTTTTTTTTTTTCCCCTGTAGGATTTTGCACAGAGCTCAGGCCAAATGGATAATCAGTTATCTCAGCAGAGGGGTACGTTCAATGCAGTGTAACAGAGGAGCAGTTGGTTAGCAAAATGTGTAGATATTACATTTCACTGTGATTGAAATTTTTTGAGTCTGCCTCACGATAAAAGAAATACAGTAACTTGGAGCATGATTTTACAGCTCGGGGAGAGGCTCCCTGACTTACATCCTGACAGGTCTTCCAGTCCTCTCCTCGTCGTATCAGGGATTCAGACTGTTAATCTTTATTAAATGCTGCGTGGTATCATGTCCTAAAACGTGATACTGTACCTGCACATATTTAATTAGCTGTCACAAAGGCTGCCTTCAAAAGTTTCAGGTTGCAGAAGCCACGCAGCAATGCCAGTACACCTGGAGAGCCAAAAATCTGTAAAATACTGTCTTGTAATTGTTCTTTTAACGTTCATCGGTTTGCAGAAAAAGTGTGATTTTTTTTTTTGCCCTCCGTTATTAAGGTATTATTTAAAATGCATTTAATCTCTTTAGGCTAAATTTGAAATATTCTCAGCTGAGATGGCTGTTACTTGCTAAACACATCTGAAATTCAAGTGCTGATGGGCATCTGTTCTTGAGTAGCTGTATTTTGCATAAACTACCTCGCTCGAACAGTCATTTCTTCCTCATAGCAAGCAAAAATCCACCACCATTTTGCCCAACATTTGGCAAGAGATGAGCAGTTCTAGGTCTAAAACATAAGCTTTGCGTTTAAAAATAAATTATAACACATGAAATTAATGTAACTTTATGGAGATTTTTACTGTCAACATTATACCTCTCAGTCTGAAGCAGCCTTGGGCAGTGTCTGCAGCACAAACTTTCCAGGATTGTGTTTGCATGAGAATCTGCTCAAGGAACATCTAAAACCCAAGTGGAAAACTGCTTTTGATTTTCACTATTCAGACTGGATGAACTTTTAAAGAAAGATGACTGTGTGGTGACATGGGAGTGTGGTTTCTAAACATTCCCTGGTTGCAAAAAAGTTGACTCAATAATAGTATAAGCAGGATTATTTTTATCCGTTGTATCACCGGCATGTGAAGGATGATGTCCCCAAAAAACCAAACTGGAACAGTAACACTGATGGGAATACGACCTGAAAGCACAAACTTGATTGTTGGCTGCTGTGTGGAGGCTCAGACCCACAAACCTGTGCACACATGTGCAGTCCTGTTCGCTCGCAGGAGTGAAAGCTGCGTTTGTGCTTGTGCTGGGAGCTCTGGGAGTCAGGGAGCACAGCTCCTCCGCAGCCCTTCGTGGAAAAAACCAGCTGCTGAGCCGAAAACACCGTTGAGGCTGCCCAGAGCTGAACGAGGCTGAGCTGGTCCCCAGTGGGTCCAAGGACAGAGAGTTTGTAAGCTGTGTAATGTTCCACTGCGTCCAAAAGCTTACAAATGGAAGCCTTTGCTCACCAGAACCTCTGCCCCCTTCTTAAAGCCAGCCCTCCATGTCCCAAGCTCCATAGAAGTGTCACCCCATGGGCTGAGATGATTTTTGGGAGGGGGAGGGGAGGAAAAGTATCTCAGATTGGCTGCATGTTCGTTATTCCTGTTTTATTGCCATCTTATCTTAAGAGGGAATAACTTGGTAATTTTATGTTCTGTCTTCAACAGAAAAATTTTTCAGTTCTCAAGATTACCTTGAGCTGTCCAACAGATTCCCGCGGCAGTCCTGGGAAGAAGCTCGGCAGTTCTTCTTGAAAAAATAAGTGTTGTATATTTGGTTTTTGAATCCCTAACATCGTCACACTGACCAGTTCCTGCTGACTACCTTCTTCAAAAGGCTGTTCTGAAACGGTTTTGATACTCTAAATACTTATTCTGTAGATATATAATTTGCACTATTTATATCATAACTACTGTAGATACTTCCAAGTTCTGTTTTGTAATTTTGATAATTTGAGTTTATTTCGTTCACGTATCCGATGTCATGATTTGGATGTTTTCTGCCCTGTGATGTGGTGGGACTTGCACTGCAGAACTGCTGAAATAAGGTTGCAAATAGAGAAAAATATGTTCTATATATCTTGTAATAAAATAACTTATTCTGTCTGGTGTGACTTCTGCATTACAAATGTTGGTGTGTTTGAATTACCGTAAGCAACCCAGGTCTCGGAGAGAGCAAAGAAAAAGCCCCTTAAGCTGTCTTTCTTGTTAATCAAAAGTGGATCAGAATCTAATCAAAAGAATTCGTCAGATTTGGCTCTGGGGAAAGTTTGCTTTAAATTTTTTGGTAATTTGGGGTAAGCCACGTCATACGGATTTTTTAAACCGTGTGCGTTTTTTACTTTTCGGTGAGCCTTTAATAACGCTGGTTTAACCCAGGGATGTGCTCTGAACGGGGAAGGTTCCGCGGTTTGAGCAAAGCCCAGCGCCGCGCCGGGCCGGGCAGCGGTCGCTTCCGCGGGAGGGGCGGGAGGCGCTGCGGGCCCCGCGCTGCGGCGGGGACCGGGCCGATCCCGGGCGGCTGGCGGCCGCGGACAGCGGGACGGGCACCGGGACCGGGGCAGGCAGCGGGATCGGGACAGGCAGCGGGACAGCCCTCTCTCGGCAGCCCCGCACGGCCCGGCCCGGCCCGGCCCGCACTCGGGTCCCGCCCGCGCCGCCCTCATGAGGGGAGGCCGCGCGCCGCCTGAGGCGAAGCTGCGGCCCCGCTCCGGCCCAGCCCCGGGAGAACGCGGAGAGCCTCGGCGCGACCAGGATGGAGCCAGGTAATGGCGGGGGCCCCGCGGCGGGGCTGGGAGGGCGGCAGACCCCGCCCCACCTGTGCCCGGCCGGGGCACAGCGGCCCCGGGCTGAGGCGGCCCCGACGGCGGCTCGCCTGGAGGGCCCGGTCCCCGCAGCCTCTCGGGGTGGTGCAGCCGCTCCGGCGCCGCGCTGCCCATCCCCTGCAGCCCGGAGGGCTCGGCCAGGGCCCAGCTCTCCCCGGGTGCCCGGGGATGGGGAGGGGGGTGCAGCTTGCTGTGGCTGGAGGTGCCCGGGCCTGCGGTCCCCATGGGAGCCGGTCCGCAGCGGTCGCGCCCTGGTAACGGGGAGGGAGCGGGAGCGGCCCCGCCGCGCTCCCAGGTGATGCCAGAGGCAGATAAGGAGCCGCCGCCTGGGTCTGGACGGGGGGATGGATACGCTCGAGGGGTCAGCTCGCCTCGCCCCGCCGCCCCGGGGAAGCCCCCGCCACCCCCGGGGAGGAGGCGAGGCCGCCCTGCAGCGCGGCAGGTGCCCGCACGACCCGGCCGAGCGCGGGGGCTGCTCCGAAAGGGAAACCTGTGCTCCGCCTCCCCGGCTATAAATAAGCGGCCCCGGTTCTGAAAGCCGATTAACGCGGTGCGGGGAGGCCGTGCGGGAAAAGTCGGGGCTGTGCCCGTCCCGACCCCGGGGAGCCCCCTCTGCCGCCCTTCCGCACCTTTTTGGTTTTGAGGTTTGTTTGGTTTTTTCGTTTCAGTCCTTTCCTTTTCTCTTTTTTTTTTTTTTTTATTAAGTCCAAAATACTTAATTCCACTATTCAACCGCTGACTCTGACAATAAATAACAATAACTTACTTTTGATCGTTAAAGGCGCAAACAATCCGTCCTCCGTCCATTGATAACTTAACATTATTAGTACTGGTTTTCCCGTTAAAAAGTCTCGTTTCCGTGTCCCGTTTTTCCAGCGATCGTGCGGGGCCGGGCGCCGCGGCCCGGGAGAGGCATCGGCGTGAGATGAGGCTGGACGGCGCGGAGGGACGGCCAGGCCGGCTCCGCGGCCGCACGCTGGGGGAGTCTCTCCCCCTTTTGTAGTTTCTTTTTTCCTTTTCCCTTCCAAAAAGGGAAGAAAAGCCGTCTCCGGCGCAAGCGGCGGGCGAGGCGGCCTGTCACCGTGCCGGGCTCCAGGGGGGAAATCCACGTTTCTTTGGGAAAAAAGAAACATCGAAATCCGCAGGGAAAAAACCCAAAACAACGAAATAACCAGGGCGGGGACTCTCTCTCCGGTCTGGTGAAGGCAGCGAGGATCCCGGTGCTTTTTTGGCCGTCAGTAACATATTTTTTGTTTGTTTTTAAATAAGAATAATTAAAAAACAAAGGCGTTTGTCCGGCGCTCTGGGAGCGGCCCGGGGCCGGGTGTCTCATGCAGGGAGCGCAGGCATGCGGAGGTCCCGCGGCGGCGGGCGACCGGGCCGCCTCACGTCTCGGCCGGGCTGGGCACCATGCTGTTGGGGGTGTCGGGGAGCTGGGAAGACAGCGAGGTCACGTCGCTGCCGGAGGAGGTGCCCAAGGAGCCGGACTCGGAGAAGGAGACCTGGGGGAGTAGCGGTGGTGAGGGCCCGGCGCGGTCGCCCCTGCCCCGGCCCCCTCCCGCAGCGCCCGGGGTTCCGCCCGCCCCCCGCGGCCCGACGGGCGGCCCGGCGCGGCTCACCAGCTGCTGGAAGGCGGCGGGCTGCTCCAGATCGCTCTGCAGGGCGAACTCGCTGAGCGCCTTCCAGGGTGGCTGGTAGGTCTGGACCTCCACGGCGCTGCCCTGCACGGCGCTCTCGTGGCGGATGGGGCTGCCGGCCACCAGCGGCGTCCCGGTGAGGCCCTGCAGGCTCTGCGGGGCACACGGGGATTCAGCGCGGCTGCCGCCCGAGCCCTCCGGCCCGGGACCCCCACCCCCAATTCCCTTCCCCGGCGGGGCGGGCGGGCTCTCACCGTCTTGTCGCTGTGCTGCTGCTGCTGGAGCTGCTTCATGAGGATGGACTTTTTCTTGTCCTTGCAGCGCTTGTTCTGGAACCAGACGCGGATGACGCGGGGACTGAGCCCCGTCATTTCCACGAGCTGCTCCTTCATCAGGGCGTCGGGGCGCGGGTTGGCGGCGTAGCAGGTCCGCAGCGTGTGCAGCTGCTTCTCGTTCAGCACCGTCCGCACGCGGGTGGTCTTCTCCGCCGCCTTGTGCGCCGGCGGCCGCGGGGCGGGCGGCCGCCCGGGCACCGGCTCTGCGGCGGGCGGGGAGGACGCGCACTGTCAGCGCCGCCGCCCGCCCGGCCCCTGCAGCCCCCCGGACACCTCCCCCGCCCCGCCGCCCGCCCCGACGGGGAGCCGGTACCTGCGAGGTGCGCGGCGGCGGCCGGCGGCAGCGCGGGGCTGCGCGGCCCGCGGGCGGCGGAGCCGTCGGGGGGCGGCCCGTGGTCGGCGCGGCACAGCAGGTCGCGCTCCCGCAGGCAGAACTGGTCGCCGGGCAGGAGCTGGCGGCCGCAGGCGGCGCAGCGGAAGCACTCCAGGTGGTAGACGTGGTCGCGGGCGCGCATCACCAGGTCGCTGCTGCTGAAGGCCGCCCGGCACTGGGCGCACTTGATGCCGAAGAGCCTGCGGGGATGCGACGCGCCGTCAGGGCGACTCCGGGCGGCGCCGCGGGGGCGGGCAGCGGCTGGGAGTCAGAATTTCGTTGGGGGAAATTCGGGGGTTTTAAGGGGCTTTTGTGCTTTTTCGGGTTCGGGTTTTTTGCCCTTTTTTTGGCTTTTTTTTTTTTTTTTTTTCCCTAACGAGCGTTGGCGCATTCGGGGTCACCTGCTGTAATCCCGCTTGCAGTAGGCCTTGCCGTCGCGCAGGAAGCATGTGCAGGTCTCGTCCAGGGGCTGCCCGCACTCGGCGCACTTGAGGCAGGCGACGTGCCACTCCAGGTCCGGCGACACCCGCAGCAGGAAGGGGTCCTGGATGCGGCCCCCGCAGCCCGCGCACAGGGCCAGCCCCGGCCGCCCTGCCGAGAGCGAGCGGGGCACGGTCAGGGCCAGCCGTGTGCCAGAGCAGAGCCAGCAATTAGGGAAAGGCACTTAAGGGTTTTTTTAAAATCTTTTTCCTTTTTTCTTATTCTGTTTTGTTTTGTTTGTTTTTTTCCAAAATAGGAAGAATCGGAAATAAAGACAGAAGCACGGACTGAAAGGATGGAAACACGAAAGGAGAGAAATAAATACAACAAGAAATAATAAAAAAAGAAACTTGATGGAGGGAAATAAATGCAGAAAGACAGAGACGAAAAGTAGAATTTCGGGAAAGGAAAATAAAAGCAATCACAGAAACGATAAAACAAAGGCTGAGGGAAAACTGAAAGAAGAAGGAAAGAAAATAAAACGGAATTACAGAAAGGAACAAAACCGGCTAAAACCCAGATGGTTAAAACGGGAACATGGACAAATGAAAACAGTAAGAGACAAGAAATCAAAGAGGCAGAAACAAACAAAACCAGAAGAACAGAAAGAGAAAGAAATAAACAAAAACGGAAAGAGAAGTAATAATAACAAAAAAGGACAAACCGAAACACGAAAGAGATAAAGAAAGAAAATCGGTAACGCAGGCAGAGAAAGAGAGAAGAAAAGAAAGAAAAAGGAGAAGGAAGCAGAGAAAGAAATGGAAAGAGCCGAAAGCATGAGCTCAGCAGCGCGGACAGCTGAAAGGACAGGCATTCGGTAAGGAACGGGGCCAGGGGGGCCGGGGATCGCTGGGCACGAACGGTAATAGCGGCACCGGAGTTGCCCCGGGCCGAGCCCGCAGCCCTTCCCGGAGCTGTCAGCGCGCCCGCGGTCCGGGGCGGTGCGGCGGCCGCCAGCCCACCCGACGGCAGCGGCGTTGCGGAGCTCGACCCGCAGCGTCCCGCGCCCGCCCCGCCGCACCCGCCCGCCCCGGCCCCGCGCTGCGCTGCGCTGCGCGCACTTACTCTTGGAGGGCTCCCCCATGGCGCCCGGGAGCGGCCGCGGGAGGAGGATGTCCACCATGCGGGCGGCCCCCTGCGCACCGGCAGCGATGCGGGATGCGGCGCCGCCGCTCCACCACTACCCGCGCGGCGCGGGGCGGGGGCCGCGCCCGCCCCCCCGGGCCCGCCCCGCCGGGCCGGCCGTGATGTCAGCGCGCAGCGGCCGCGGGCGGGGGGCGGCGCTGACCTCACCGCGCGGCCCCCGGAGGCGATTGGCGGCCGCGGCAGCGCCCGCGGATTGGCGGCGCCGAACAATGGGCGCGGAGCGGGGCGCGCTCCCCGCGGGACCGGCCCGGACGGGGCGGGCGGGACCGAGCGCCGCGGGACGCGCTGCTCCGCACCCCGCGCCCGCCGCACCCTCCGACCGCACGGCGCGGCGCGACCCGGCCCCGTGCGCGGAGGGGACGGCGGCATCGGCGGCCGAGGGGAGGGAGATTCATTGTAGCTTTCTCCCCCCGCTCTGTTTTCCCTGTTATTCTTCTTGACTTTTAGTTAGCTTTTTATTTGCTGCTTTTATTTCCCTTTTCCTCTTCCTTACCCTCTCTTTTGCCTTTTATTTCGTTGTCCCTTTTCCCCCCGTTTCGGCGTGCAGCAGGCAGGTGCCCGCGGGCGGCCGCGGCAGGACATCCCGCGGCAGACGGGAAGGGGCTCCGCCACCGGCTCGAGGCTGCGCGCCCGCGGAGCGCGTCCCCGCTGGGGACCGTGTGCGGGAGAACCACCCCGACGGACCCCAGCGGGACCGATGGCATCGTCGGGGCCGCCGTTCCGGGCAGCAGCCCCGTGATGAATTGAAATTAGCAGGAAAAAATTTAGTATTTTACTGCATTTTCATGCACCTGATCCTGTGCTGCTCCTGAAGCTTTACCTCTTCTGTTGCTTTTTTTCCCTTCTGTTCTTTTCTGCACTCTCTTTCCCCCAGTCTCCGTGGGCTTCCTATGCATTAGCAGAAAAATAGGGAGAGCACTACAGTGGCCTTTGACTTGGTTTTAAATTGCCGAAGACTTCGCAGCACAGCAGCACGAGCAGCTCAAAAGGTCCAGGAAAGCTTATACATGCTGGAATTGAGATTGCTACTGTCTTGGGGCTTCAGCCCTGTCCTTCTACTCCACATAATCGCCTTTTTAATTTTACACACGGTATTTGGCAGGCCTAGAACAACCTGTATGTCTTGGGCAGGACATGGTGATTTTAGATGTTGGCTCAGGAAGGGCAGGCTGGGCTCATTTTTCTTGGATGAGGGAGGTAGGGTTGGTTTTCCAACCAGAGCGCTTGTACGAGTCGGGCACCTTGTAGGTATGAAACCTCTGGAGCTGAGGAGGGGGAGAGGATTTTGATAACTGGTGTTGGACTATTGGACCTGCTCTCCCCAGCCTGACCGCAGCCCCTGCTACCCCTTGAGGACCCCAAATGTTGAAAGCAAACCTTTAAGTTTGTGCAACAACTGAGGGAAGAAGGATGATGGTAATTGTGGTACCCACTTCAGCAGGGACACGTGTCATCATGGGATTTTGGCATCCCTGCATGTGCAGAGGTGCAGTGTGGCCATGACATCCTCAGGGTAGGGTGGGTCCGTGTGTCCCCTGCCTGTGTGGCAGCGGCAGGGTGGTCATGGCGCCTGTCAGGGGTTGTGGTGTGACTGCTGCCTGCATTGCCAGCGGCTGAGCTGTGCTGGGAGGTGAGTGGGGTGAAGGCAATGAGAAAACTTTGGCTGGCTCTTCAAACTGGGGTGACCCTATGGGATGGGTGATGGGAACCTCCACAGCACTGCCATGGCTGTGGGGCAGCACAGTTTGTCCTGCCCATGCCTGGGCACCTGGCAGAAGAGAGGGTACAGAAGGGTGACTTCAGCCTGAGCTGGAATCCAGAGTCCTGAGTGAGTCAGTATTTGCATGTGTTAACAATAAAATGCAAAAATAAAATGTCAGAGTGATAGGAGAATGAGACACGTCTAAGAATACAGCAGCTTGGCAGGGATACTTCGTGTTGCATCACCCTTTTCCCACTCGAGGGCAGGATCCTCTCTGCTCTCCCAAACCTCCCACCAACTCAGGAAAAAGAAAGGTTACAGCTGAGCCAGCCAAAGATCTCCAAACTGGCGCAAAGCTGTGCTGCAGGCACACCTGTGTCAGTGCACAGCAATGTGCTGACACCAGGCAGGTATGGTTGGACTGGACTCCCTTCACAGCCTGGCAGGTAGGAACAGAGCAGGTAGTGCAGCAAAGGCACTTTAGTAGAAAATCCCAAAAAATTGCCTGCCAGGGAAATGTTGAAAACCCTGAGGCTCCTCTATGTGATGTACAAAAATCTTTAAAATGACTACAGGTACAAGAAGCATTGAAGCAGCTTGATACCACCATGTTTTACAAACAGGTTAATTGTTGGTTCATCTGAGGGGAGCTAAGGGAAAGCACATCATAAAATCATAGAATAAATCAGGCCAGGAGGGATCTCTGGAAAATTGCTTTCAGGTCGCTTGGAACTGCTGGAAGCCTTTGCTAGTCAAAGCCAAATGCAGTTTCTCTCCTGCCACGCTGATTGCTCTGTGCTCTCCTCCACCCAGTGTTCGGAGTTTCTAGTGGCTTTTGGGGCAATTCTGACTGGGTTTGGTGCGAGAGCTGGCAGGGGCAGCCGTGGGGTGAGCCGGCAAACAGCACTTCCCGCTCTCCACACGACAGCTCTGCTTTCTGCTCCCAGATAGAAATACAAGTTCCTCTAGAAAGGGGAAACGGTAACAATTTTTTTGTTTGCAGCAGATTGCAAAGGCAGTAAATGCTGATTCTTTCAGAGCCAGCCATGGATTAAGTCCATTATAAAATTAAAACAGATGGAACGCAATTTCACTTACATTACAAAAAAGGACAGGAACCATCTGCAATAAGATTTAGCATTGCAAAGCTATTGTTATCATGTTACCATTAAAACCTTTGATGAAGGGTTTTCTTTCTTTCATAAACTTATTCACATGAAACAAATGTTTTATTTATCCATCTTCCTAAGATAATCATATTTTATTTAAAAAGATGACATCTCTCAAAAAAAGGAGCTCTTGATTCTAATAGAATATGGAAAAACAAAGAAATGTTGTAAAACTCCAACGCTGAACCACTGGGGGCTTCAATGGGGTGGATGCAGCAAGGAGAATTCCCTATCCATTTTTCCTTTAAAAAACATTTCCTTGTGTTTGGGCACAATGTCTGATACTGAAAATAGATAATTAATGAGATAATGGGATACTGCATGTCACCTCCTGTCCAATGGGATTATCTGATGGCTAATTATGGACAGATTGTGATTAATGTGATTATGGATTGGATATTAATCTGATTCTGGATTGATCTAGTTATGTTTTAGTCTGCTCCAAATGGTTAATTGGATCTGAGATAATAGAAATGCAGCTTGCACCAGATTTTGCCACATCAGTTGATGAAGTATCTTTTGATCTGGGTGGGTTGCGAACAATAAATTATTTACAGCTGTTGAGAAAATGACTCTTCCTTAGAATGTAGTCATTCATTTTATTTTCGAGAGCCTTTGAAAACAAAATCAATATCCTTTCTAAAAGGAGATGTTGACAAAAGAAAGGCACGTACATAACTCACAAACAAATGTGACGAAATTAAACAGTGGTTAACCCGGTGGCCTAATGTCTGGTGATGCATTTGAATTGCTATGTGGAGCTTTGGGCTCAATTCTTCTGAGACCAGCAGGGGTTGGGAGCATTGCAGGGGAACAGGGCCCAGCGCTGGGGAAAGTGGTGTTGCACAAGAGCTACTGCCAGCCCTGCTAGTGATTAAGAATCAGCCATGGTAACATGGCAAAGGGAGCCCTTGCCATTTTTCCCCTCCGGATAAGAAGGGTTCTGAAAGTTCATGGGTGCAGAAAGGACTCATTGGCCCATTTCCTCTGGCCTCCTTCATACCAGACCATGCAATTGGACCCAGTATTATTTTTTTTTCCCCTCGCAGTGAGCCCGTTAATTTATGGTTGACCTCAGTCGTGTCTCCCAGAGATGCATCTGGTCTTGATGTCGCCTGCCAGTGCGGGAGAGACTGCTCTGCTCCCCCCGTTCCTGCTCGGTAACTACTTTCACTGAAATGGCAAACCAAGTGTATAGTTTAGGTTCAACCCTCAGACACTGGATCTTGTTATGCCATTATCTGCAGGATTAAAGGCAAAGGGTAAGTTGTAGACTTTGCAGACTTCATCTTAGACTTTGTGGCAGGGCACATTAGCCTTTGTCGCCAGGTGCCATAAGCTGCAGGTAACGTCACCAGAAGGTGCTCCTCTGTAACAGCTTTTGCAATATTAAAACATCAAAAATCAAGCAAGTCCCAAAACACTGAAAACAAGGCCTAGTGCAGCTGCTGTGCTTTCACAGAAGTGTTTTTGACTGAGCTGAAATGGAAAGAAAAAAGGAGAAAGCAACTTTTTCCCTGAAAAATGCTTGTAGGCATGGAAAGGGCTGTTCCCTGGAGTGATTTCATGGGCTGCTGTCCCTGCTACTGCAGGAATGGCTTGGGCTGGCATTAGCGGGAACACAGTGGCATCTGGGTTCCTTCCCAGCAGTGTGATGGGCAGAAAAAGCAGCTACCTGTTTAAAAAATAATGCTGCTGCAACCTGGAAGAGAATTTTACACACATCTGCCATTAGTGACAAGGCGAGCTGTGTGCAGGAGGAGGGTGGCAGGTCACAAAACACCCACTGCAGGTGTCTGCACTGGGAAGGGACCAGAGCTCTTCCTCCCAGGATTGCTTCCCTTGACCTCTGCACAAACCACCAGCACTCCTGGGCAGGACAGGCTGCCTTCCAAGGTAACCTGAGCCTTTGCTTTCAGGAGGGTATGAGGGTCTCTCTTCGCCTGTGACCTCAGCAAGAAAGGGTTTCTTGAACTCCTCTGGTGTTCTTGTTCTCTAGGAATATGCAGCAAATGGGATGGGATGTGACATTGCTCCCTAACTCCCTTGTTACCTGATTGGCACATGGAAATGATTAGCAAGTGAGAGGAGTTTGTAAGAAAGGGAAAACACCTGCATGTGGTGGTTTTGCAGGTTCAGTATAAGAAGAAGGGTT